TGAATCACAGCTGATATTTAAGAACTAAAGCACAGTGAAATAAGTGAAACCAGAAGGACAGTATACACAGGAGGTAAAAGTCAGTGACACTCCAGGTTCTGTCAGGGTTTGAAAGCATCTAGGGCTGGAGCACTGAACAAAATTCCATAAGGTGAAGTTAATAACAAGAAGTATGAAGTCGTATGCTTGGTTTAACAAAATCAACTTTGCTAGTAGAAGATGGGAAAGCGTGGCCGGATAAGCCATTCATCTGAATATGAACTGGGCATCTGGGCAGATTGCTAGCTCGGTGTGAGTTATATGATGATATGGTGGGCCAAAAAGTCAGATGATGGTAGACATAGCCCCATAAATAAGGATGTGATGACTGTGCCTGTCCTCTGGACTGCCCTGTCCATGTCTGGGTGCCCTGCGGGGGATGACCATTGGTAAGGTGGAGAGTATCCCCAGGAGAAGCTCTTGGGATAGGGAAGGGCATCGTGCTCGTGCTCGGTGAGGCTTTGGTGAAGGAATAAGCGATGATTGTTGAGGAGAGATAGTGGACTTTGTTGTATTCTTTACTTTGTGAAGGAGTTCCTTTAGCTATTTATTCTTCAGAAGTACAGTGGGCTGACTCAGGAGGGGGTGGTGAAGGATGTGGATCGCTGCCTGTTGTGTTTGTTGTGATGTGTCCCCCCCAGCCCTTCCAGGGATAGGTGGGAGTAGATGGCCACTGAGTTTCTTTCTGTCTCTGAAATTCTAAAAAGAATTCAGTTCAGATTTATTGAATAAATATTTTAGCACATCTTCTGGATGTATGACACTTTATTGGGCACTACAGAACTTCTAGAAATGAGTCTGATAAAGTCCCTGCCTTCTCAGTCCTTGTATTTTTCTGGGGGTATGGGGTATATGGGTGTTCATGGAAGACTGGTACCTCTGGTGTGAGGGCTGCTTTCCACTTTTGGTGTCCAACTCTCACCTGTGGCTCCAAGAAGCTGTAGTGTGCACAGCAGCTAGACCATCTCGGCAGATGGGCTAAACCAGGTTGAGGATAACCGACAGGCCTCACACCATTTGGCAAGTCAGGGGTTGTCTGCACCAAACATGTGAAGACTTCGTCTGGTGCAATGAACAGTCACGGTGGGGGTTGGAGTGCAGGATGTCTGTGTCTTGGTCATTGCTGGCAAGATTCTTGAGTTCTGCTTTATAGACTGCTTCTTCACCTGGAAGATGGTCATCTGCCTGAGAGCCATGTGGCCCTTCAGAAAGGAGAAATGCCAGGATCAGAACAGAAGTCTGTACACAAGGTTCATTGATTCGACCGAGGCCTTTGATGCTGTCAGTTGTGAGGGCTTGTGGAAGATCATGGCAAAATTTGGTTGTGTGGAGGAGCTCATCAGTATTATATGGCGATTCCATGACAGCGTGCTTGGATGGGTT